GTGGACTTCCCTTCAATATTCAAACTTTGTACGTCTTCATTAACAGATTTCTTTCCTGATTCAACTTTCACAATATCCCAGGTGGTTTTAATTTTATTGTTTGATTTTAGAATTTGGCTGTTATAGTTATTCTGTTTGGCTTCTTTAATGACTTTTGACAAAATTTTACAGTACATTTTGTAGTGACTTTTTAGTCTTGGATCATTACTGTCCCTACTGGCCAAATATAGTTGTCTTTTGTGTTTACATGAAGTTTTTATTCCAATTGTTATCCAGGTGGATTTGTTTTTATTTTCATTTTTGACTATTTTTAAGGGAAAGCTTGAATATGTGAAAGTATGTGTTCAGAAAGCAATTAAATTTAGAATCAATATTATTGCTGTCAAATACATTGTCCCACGATTCATTACTTAATTTTGTGACAAAATCTGCCATCATATGCCTGACAGGCTGACGCCTTGGAGAAAGTGCTTGGTAATGAAGCTTAGTGACTTTGAACCGAGAAACATGCATGAATCTCCCGTGTCCTTTTCTTTTCAGCCCACTATGCAGGATGGTTCCTTGTACTAAAGGTATGTATCATATCGGATGCATACAATTATAATGCCCAGTTTATTTATGTGGTCAGCTTGCAAAATTTAAGGATAGCTGGAAGAATGTGATGTGCTGAGTGCTGTATGCCATTTGATATACATTGTTTTGGGAGAAAAAATATGTACAGCATCCAGAATATAAACAGTCTGGCCCAGAGTTCTGCATGATTATACTGGACCATCAATACTTATATATTATTTTTCTTCTGCATAACAGAGCACCTGCTTTTACAAATTCTTGTTTTAAATAAATGGCTACCTTGTACTTGCATACTGATGATGTAATATAATGTCATTAATGTTTTTAAATCCATGAGTTGTCTTATACACAAGAACAGACAATCACAAATACTATTTGTTGGTGGATTAGACTTTACAGTCATGAGTCTGTGCTAAAGATATTTGGAAATTCAAGTTACATTGAATTTAAAGTCTGTGAATAATATACTTCAAGAAGGATGTTTGCCTAAATTTATTGTGTTGTACACATCACAGATTGTTGATATTATTAGTAATTGTTGACATTCCTGGACAAAAGAAATGGATGACATCACTTTCTAAGTGAAGAAATGCCATGCAGGATATTCAACTCAAGTTTTCCTCCCCAGCTGTGTACCAGTAATGAGAGGCCCCAGCAGCTCATTCGATATAGCCCACCATTATGACTGGGCTCTGCTGTTGACTGCAGCCCCTTTACACGTTTGCACAGTGGAACTCCCATTTAATGTTCTTCAGTTTAAGGTATTCCAACATTTAACATTCAGTTCAGTGATCAAAGTCAATATTAATATTGTCAGTGTTAATTTGCCTCCATTTAAGGTTTTTCTCAGTTTCATGTTTAGATCAGTGCTCCTCACAAAAACCTATAAATGGGCTTTTCACTGTACGACAAATTGTTGAGTGAAGTACCCTGTTACCTGAGGAGAATATTTGGGCCTACCAGAGAGGAAGTAACAGGAGGCTGGAGGAATCCCTGTTACCTGAGGAGAGTGTTTGGGCCTAACAGAGAGGAAGTAACAAGAGGCTGGAGGAATCCCTGTTACCTGAGGAGAGTATTTGGGCCTACCAGAGAGGAAGTAACAGGAGGCTGGAGGAATCCCTGTTACCTGAGAAGAGTATTTGGGTCCACCAGAGAGGAAGTAACAGGAGGCTGGAGGAATCTGTGTAATGAAGAGTTTCATAATTAGTATTCTCCACCGGATATTAGTGTCATCAAAAGAAGGATGAGGCGGGTGAGACATATGAGAAGTGTGAACCTGAGTGGAAGGACACCATTGGAAAGAGCTAGGCAGAGATGGGAGGATAACATTGAAATGGAACTTTTGGGATTGGGATGTGGATTCTATTCATCTGGCGCAGGATAGGGACCCATGTTTGGCTTTTGTGAACCTATGCAGTTCAAGGCTTGTAATTCCCCGACCTTACCCAACTCAGAGTTGTGCATTCACTTTTTAAATAGGGTTCTAACAATACTTTATCCTGAATACCAGGTTATGGCAATGATGCAGCTGATGCTGTTGCCAGAGATGTGACTGTCCAGGTTAACTTGATACCTTGTGCTTCAAATTTGGACATAGGACACCTCCTCTGTTGTCTAGTGGTCACAGTTCCTGACTACAGGTCCTGAGGTCCCGGGTTCGATTCCTGGCGCTACCAGATTTTCTGAGAAGTAGTGGGTCTGGAACAGGGTCCACTCAGCCTCATGCGAATAATTGAGGATCTATTTGGAGGAAATAGGTCTAGAAAACCGAAATTAACGGCCGTTGGGATTTGTTGCACTGACCACGTGACACCCTCTATCCATTAAAGTTGGCACTAACTTCACCGACAAGTGGTGGTTGCTTGGTCAGTATAGTTCACGTGTGGACTAACACCATGGGGTTTGTTTGTTTGTCAGTCTGTTTGTTCACACTGAACAGGACTGGGAAAATACCCAGACTACAAGTTAAGGGAGGTGAATCACTGGTGCATGTCTTGTTGTCTCATGTCTTGATGAGGCCATCTGTTACACCTCAGGGGGAGGGGGTGAGAAACTATAAGTACTTTAGGCGGTTGTTACTCTTTTCCTAACATCTTCGTTGCACTCGGCTGCCAACGGCGGTCTTGATTAGGGAAGCTTGGGATCGGGTGAGGACAGGATGGTTACTAACGGGAGAATCAGAACTCCTTGCATACATTTTCCCCTATGTACACTGTCTATTTACACTACTAATTACATTAAGGAAAGGACCTAATTTGGTCTGCTTACATCACACTTCTTACTGAGCTATTTCTACCATCTTTGTCGGAGGAGGGGAGTTGCCTTGGACTGTATCTCCTATCCTCGTCTGCTACTGTACATTCATTACTACCCTGTCCTACCCCGTTCTACCCAGGCTCTCACTCGGTACACTAGAGGCTGTCTGAACATCTCACACTAACACTTTTATACACAATAACATTTAACAGCATGGCGTATATGAGCAAAGAGACTTACTTGCAATACACATGTAGATTACTGCCGTCATCCACCCTCTTATGGTATACATGTCGCCGAGAGCCTCCGGCTGACAACTGAATATTCTGTGATAGAACATGATCCAAATCCCCCGAAATTCCCTAATTTATGATTTTATTTCGCTGATTCAGCGTTGACGACAGAGGTAGGTAACTCCCCCTCAGTGTCCTCAGTCCTCATAATCACCTCCTCATTGGCTCTCATGGGTGGTTGTGGGCGGACCCCTTGCGTCTTATTGCTGTGTATGCGGTCTCTCTCGATTACCGAGTGACCGAGTGAGGCAAGTGTCTTGCTTGGCGTATCCACATACTTGCTGAGACTCCACATTCTTAACCTAATTGCCAGTCCTGGTGTTTACAAATTACTGTAAGAACTGCGAAACGCTTTTCGCAAGTCTCTAACATTTGGGTAATACCATACAAGCTCTAATCTCAAATTTGGGCCGTAACACCATCCTAACTGGATGCAAGTCAGTCACCTGTCTGGGAGCCCACCTTCCGCGTACGCCTCCTGTGTCTGACCCACTTTTTGGTAGAGTGCCCCACGTACACCACCCAACACACTTGAATGGCTTCACCTGCTATGCACTGATTCTGAAGTACTGTGAGGATATTCTGATATTTTAACCCAAGTTTCAGCCTTCTCATTAGTCATTGATATGAATGGTATTGATATATTAATTATCCATACTTTTACTATAAAATGTAGTAAGTACCCTACATCTGTTATTCCCTCACTTTTCCATTCATTTTATTGAACTGCTGCAATGACAGTGTTATATTTCTCCAATTCCAATTTCATTTGACTTAATCCTTATGTCAAGAATAAACTTAAGACATTCAAAGCAGTGAGATACAACTCACTGTCCTTATAACCCTTTACTCAGCCATTTCTCAGAATTTTCCATTTGGCAGCCGTCATGTTTGTTTACACACATTGTTTTGTGATAGTAGATTATTAGCCTCATGCTGAACCCCTATCCTGAAGGACCAGGGGCCACCCTTTCATCTGGACCTTACCATTTGACTTATCTGGTATGGGTGATCCTACCAGGAGCTTATGTACCCAGCAGCATGGCTGTCTTCGGGTGACCAGTACACAAAAACCTCCCACTATATTAAGGTAGTGACCCAGGAGGAGGAACCCAAAACCAGACACAAAAATCTTTGGTGATAGACAGCATTGTTAAATAGACCATAAAAAAAAACAGTTTGCTTGGAGAGGGATGTGCAACTGTGATATTGTGCAGTGGGCTAACCCTGTAGCTTTCTTTGCTTATAGTTTCTGGGGACATCTCTTTTGTCCCTTGTGGTCCATAGGCCCCATCCTTTGGGTGGAGGTTGTACTCTGAATATAGCAATCTAAACGTTCACCTCTATGAATGCTTTTGATTTCACAAAGCATAAGACAAAATTTTCAATATATAAAATAATGAAAACTGTAACTGGTCATTTTGTATATAGAGTGGACAGACCACTGAATGTTTTAGGGCTAATGAAATGTAAGGGAAAATAAGTTCCGACTGTAAAGTGATTAGTTTTGCAACGGTAGAGTCACATTAAAGTTTGAACATTAACGCAAGTTCAAAAGATGATTTGCAGAGGGAAAGAAGCAGTGAAATCATTGGGGTAAGGGCTTTTATTACACATAACCAACGTTTTCAATAACAGTGGGTTACATCAAGAAACTGTTCACCATCTTATAATACTTACTTTATATAACTGTGATAAAGTGACATTAAATAAACAGAACAGTTGTGCAGTAATAATTAATGATAGCAGGCAAACGTGAGGAAATTACAGTATAATGAATACGAGTTGAAATTCACGAAGTATGGGAAATGAGGTGTGCCAGGTGCAAAAGGAAAACAGAGGGCTCAGTCTTCTTGCAGTCTTCACCCTTTCTCAGTCCTTTAATATTTCCAATACATGTTTTTGAAGTCAATACAACATGTTTTGACTTTAGTTCAGTTTGGGTGCCATATTAGAAGACAAAGTGGATTGATAGGCGAAAAATTTTCAATATACTCTAATGCACTCACAAATCAACTGATCTCTGTGTTTCAGTATGACTGTAATAGCACGTGCAAGAGGGAGGTCTGTTAGTAACAGCTGGGAGAACTACTGTGAAGTGGGTGAATAAGGGCACATGACAGCATTGTTCCTGAAGTAACTCATATTTGAAAATTTTTGCCATTTGCGTGAGAAATCTGGATGCTTTGGGCTTTGTCTGGGATCAGAAGAATATTTTCTGAATATGGGAGTTAACTGTATGTGCACTGGGGAACAGCAACCCACCATTGTTTACATTCTGACATCATAGGCATGTGTTTGTTTCCCCCCCCCAAATTGGTTGCAGAGAGACAGAACACAGAATGACCTGGAGAATGAGAGAACGTAACATCAAACGAAACGTCAAAGTGGGGCCTCAAGGATTCTGGATGCGAGTCCTTTCAGAAGCATGGCATGAAATTAATCTGAATTCCAAACATTAATTCTGTTTCCTATCCAAATGAATGTCAAAACATGTGTTCAGATGTTCTCAGGCTTTATTATAACAGTGTTACTGAAATAGGTTAATTTTTATTTTGCTTAAGAGATGGCCTTTATGTAGACCATCTCTCTGTTCTAGTGGTCAGAGTTCCTGGCTACTGATCCAGAAGTCCAGGTTCAATTCCCAGTGCTACCAGATTTTCTGAGAAGTGGTTGGTCTGGAATGGGTTCCACTCAGCCTCATGAGGATAATTCAGGAGTTATGTCAAGGAAACAGGTGCTCCAGTCTAGAAAACCAAAATTAACGGCCATGGGGATTTGTTGCGCTGAACATGCAACATCCTCTATCCACTAAAGTTGGCACTAACTTCACCAACAAGCGGCGGTCGCTCTGTTAATATAGTTCACTTGCGGTCTCTAACCTCAGAGTTTGTTTTTTAATGGCATTTATGAATGTAGGTTCTATAGTAAATTTTTATTTTTTGTAATTATTTGTTCAACTATGTCAGTAGCCCAAACAGTATACTGTGACCAAGCAAGTTAGCTGAGGTTTGACTTGTATTCAGTATTTTGTTCATATCTCACCTGGAATAGAGTCTGTCTTGACAGGTTTTTCCATGTTTTTTCTCAGTCCATCCAGGTTAATGCCAGGATGGTGCTTTAGAAGAGGCTACAGCCACTTCCTTTCACACATTTTTCGGTTAATCATTCTTCACTCTGACATTAGACACCAGTTTGAGCTGCTGGCAGCATCATTAAATAAACCGAAAACAATGTTCAGTGGTAGGATAACGAATTATGAATTGGAAAGGATGTGGCATATCTAGGTACTATCCTAACATTTGTCTGGAGTGACAAGACTAGGAATTGAGGAAAATTACAAAGCCTAAGGATAGGTAATGTTCAGGGTAAAAATTGAACCTAGACCCTTTTGAATGGAAAGTGCTAAATGCACAACACAACCATATTTACATGTGGTCAGGAATAAAGAGATCGGTGTACCTTACATTTCTGTTAGCAATGCTTTTTCACCTGTGCAGATTACATTACCATAAGATGGTAGGGCAGTGATGAAAGATGTAGCTGTGATCTGTTTCGAGGGGCTGAGAAATCTCAGTGTAGGCATTCTTCAGATTTAGGATCTCGTGAATATCATCAATCTCTAGACGTTGCAGTCAGTCATTAATTAATTAAACTTACTATTGGTTCATTCTTAGGTAAATTTTGGCATAAATTAAATGGTAGAAAAGTTTCAGTGTTTGAAAATGATCATGTCTGCTTAAGTCATCTGCAGTGACAGCATATTTGACAGTATGATTCAGAAAAGTCTTCTGATACATGATAAATTGGGATTTACACATTAACTGTGGTTTTTGTACATGAAAACATGAAATGTGTATTGGTAATGTTTTTATTTTTTGCATTACAGGAATGTATTTAAGGATGCCATTGTTTCATAGCAACTTATTGCCCCCAGATTTGTGGGATTTGTACTCAGCACAAGTCACTCATGTGTGTGTGTGTGTGCATGTGTGCGCACTTCATCCTGGCGCCATCTAACTCAATTTTGTCTTTGTATGGGACTCCCCATGATGATGCTTGCAAGAGTTCTTCATAGTCCCAGTCATGAGCTTCATCTTCTGCGCAACAGTCTGAATCAAAATTAAACATACTATCACTTTTGTCCATTTAGTTAACAGAGTTGAATATCTGAAGCGTGTAGCAAAGATTTGAATAAATTTTGGTTGTTACATTCCAGCTGTTTTATGACACAAGAGACTGAGGAAGTATATCAAGTATTATGTGCAGGAATGATTTTATAATGCAGAACCACTTTGTGAACAAGTGGTGAACTCTTTTTGGTACAAGGTGCATAAAACAGTCTTTTTTGTCTAAACATTTTCAACTCTTACAATACGTGACACTGTGTTATTTGCTGACAGAAACAAAGTTAATTCCATTCCTTTATCATAAAAAGTGTATTAGATACAGCATTTTTAATAAAATGCTTAAAATTATATAAATAAACTCAATCCATTATTTAAAGGCTATGGGAAAATTATAGGCCAAAAGTGTTTGGGAACAGGGTGCTGAGAATATTTGTCCCAAAGAGGGAGGAAATGATGGGAGGCTGGAGAAAACTGCATAATAATGAGCTTCATAATTTGTATTCCTTGCCTGATTTTATTAGGGAGATGAAATAGTTTGGATGTGTAATGTATGGAGGACAAGAGGATGCATATATGTCCTGAAAACTTGAAGGAAAGAGACCATTTGCAAGACCCAAACTTAAAAGGATAATAATACAATAAGTTTTGGGAAGAAATGCCTACTTTCCTTTGATATGACATGGACCACAGAGAAAACTGTGTGTCCAACAATTCTACTGCGTGTGTATTCATTGCCACAGGCAGGTATTTACTGGGCCACTGCCTGGGAATGATAAGAGGCATATAAACAGACACAGGGAAAGCAGACTAATAGTAGAGGAACTGTTGGAGGCGGTGTTTTCTCTGCAGTCCAACCCAAAGTCAAGAAAATAACCCTTCCCTGGATCATGGTTAACAGTCTCAGCATGCAGAAGCCAGAGAGTTCAAAGACCTAATCTCTGACTGCACTCTTCTGGCTTTCAGAGTTAGGGGGTGATGCAGACGATACAGTGATGAGTCTTTTTATTTCAAAATAAGAAAAGTATGCTAAAAAATGAGTCCTGACAGAACAGGGACCAGTGGTGGGCTACATAGTAATAAACTTATGGATTTCATAAAGTGCAGAAAGTTTCTTAATTAGTAGAGGAACTATTTCTCAGCATCTCGGGAACAACTGCTCTATGGAATAAGGTCATAGTGATAGTAATTTTCTGATTTTACATTTCCAAACAACATTCTCATTAATTGGCACTTAAAAGGACACAAACCTTTAAAGATAAAATTCCTTAAGAATTTCTGTGCAGCAGGAAACAGGAATGTGTGGTGGTAAAGTGAGTTCTAGACGCTCCTTGCTTATTGTGGGGGCCCATCAATGGCAATAGGCTGTATGGATGTCCTTGTAATCATCTATATAGAGCACCACAATAAAATGGTGAAAATCACAAATATTTCGTCTTCAGTGATATGTAAGGAGAGAGCTAGTTACCTCAAAACATCAGTAATATACTATTTCAACAAGGTGCTATGCCCACTCTCCTCAGAATCAAGTCTAATAATGTGCTGCTGTAGGTCCTTCACATCTGTCAGCAAGCCAAATGAAATATTACACAACTGTAAATTACAACCCAGCAACAGTCTTTACTTGTCTCTCAGGGTTGCAGTGTTACATAGTGATGTGGGATTAGTTATGATGAAATCACTACATCCTGTCATCATATGTGAGATCTCGCTGAACACACAGGGCATATCTTCAATAAGTTTGCCTACTCAAGGCATGATGTACCCTGAGAGATGTTTTAGACAAATTTTTAAATCTTAAATTCGCATAGTGGGGGTTGGAGTCTAGTTGGGTCCATTAGGCACATCGTCCACTGATTGGCCTACTGTACCTGCCCCGGTTGATTTTGTTCCACTCAAAGCGAAGTCTTATGCGGTTGTTGTAATTTGTTCAAAATATCTCCGGCCAGCTCACTGTTAACAAATATGAATTTCAATTCAACACATACATAACCTCACTTTCGTTAACCAAATCATTCGCGTTATTACCAGTGTTCATCGCACGTACCACACTTGTTTGATAATTGGTACTACCGATTTACCTGTTGAAATCCGCGCAGTCCAACGGACAGGGTTTACGTTGGTATCTTGTACATTAGGAGGTTTCACGCGCAGAATCAGAGTGGTATAGTGGTTTAGAACGTTTAGGATGTTTAGAGCGTTTAGAATGTTTATCTGTTGCAAATTTAGGATTAAAAGTTGTTTATAACGCTATAGAAATACTTATTTATTTGCTTAAATACAGTTTTTGTTTTGTTTTGTTTACGTATCGGTTTCGAATTTGCCCTCGCTTTCTGGGCGTTTGGTTCAACGTATTCACATTCACAATCGGCGTGGGTAAGTGACTTCAAAATTTCCAATCTGTTCTTTTGGAAATGTCGTCTTAAGACATATTGTCAATCACTGTATTATATTACAAGCATACAGAAATGTGTTTCATAATGTTACGTTTTTGTAACATACTTTAAATAATGACTGGATGTGGGTATTCCATTTAAGGTTTTCTATAATCTATACCTAAAAATCTCAGTTCCGATGAGTAAGCAGTTTCCAAGTTGTTATAGAGCAGACATGTCCAACGCGGCGCCCTCCGTAACCACATATAATTGAGCCGATTTTTAATATTAATTCAAATTGTAAGACGAGACATTTTTTAACGTCTAAGTACTGTTAAATATTTTCGAACAATTTTATTATTATTATTATTAGTAGTAGTAGTAGTAGTAGTAGTGTGTGGTGGCGGCGCCCGCACCTCCATAGGCATCAGTGAATTGTGCCCGAGTACATAAGAACGTTGGACAGCACTGTTATAGAGTATCTGCGGTCTAACGACAAACCTCTCTTTACTAAGATGGAATGACATAGCAGCTGATTTTTAATATTTGTTAAAATGTTATTTACCTGAAACCATGTTTCAATCTGTTTCATGATCTTATTTATTTTCTGTTGAGCTACATCTTTATCTTTATCAGTAACAAGTACATTAATATCATCTGCAAACAATACCATTTCTGCACCTTGTACATTTAGTGGGAGATCATTTATATACAGAAGAAACAGTAGTGGTCTCAGAATTAACCCCTGTGTTACCCCATGTATTGTTTCTCTCAAGGTTGATATATGAAATGAAATGAAATATATATTTTGGATGATGTTTTTATTCAGGTGATTTATTTCAACAAATTGTACTCGGTGAGATAAATAAGATTCAAACCATAAATTAGTAACCCCCTGGATCCCATAGTAATTTAATTTATCTAGTAATACATTGTGGTCTATCACATCATATGCCTTTGTCAAGTCAAAAAATATTCCTATAACATGAAACCGTCTATCCGTCGCCTCCTGTATACTCTCAATGAAGGTCTGGGAAGCTGTTTCTGTCGATTTGTTATTCCTAAATCATTCTGCACTTCTGTTAATATGGTATATTTTGTTACAAAGGATATCAACCTGTTATACACCAATTTTTCTAGTATTTTGGAGAAAACTGATATTGGCCTGTAATTACAAACTTCCTGTCTTTCCCCTTTTTTATTCAGTGGTCTTACTTTAGCTATTTTCATCTTATCCGGAAAGACCCTCGATTTTAAAGAGGCATTGAAAATATGTACTAAAGGTTTCTTCATGTAATGTGAACATCTCTTGGCTAAATATTCATCAAAGCCTGCAGATGGTTTACCTTTAGATTTTTTATTACCCTCTCTATTTCAGTTTCGGTAATAGGGAGCCAAAACATTGTGTACATTTGATATTGAATCCTCTGTTGTGAGGTTTGTACTGGAGAATGGTTTATATTATTCAGTAAAAGATATTAGCATGTTCAATAAAAAAGGAATTTAACATGTCTGCCATTTTTTGTGGATTTGATGTTTCCTCACTTCCATTGTTTAAACTAGTTATATAGTCGCCCTGCCGAGAACTTCCAGTTTCTTTATTTATTATTTGTCAAATTTCCTTTGTTTTGTTATGTGAACTTAACATAAACCCATCACATTCTTTTCTTTTAGCTTCTGTTATAACCCTTTTATAGATTTTCTGATATCTATTAATGTATTCTAATACATGATTTGAAAAATTTGTATTTTTCTTTAAAGTGTTTAAAAGTCTCATTTTCTGACTTGAAACCTTTATCCCCTGGGTAATCCATTTAATCTAATTACAGTTTTTCTTATAAACTGTCTTTAAAGGAAAAGCTCTTTCAAAATAGTACAAAAATCTGTTCAAAAAAGTATTTTAAGAGGTATTTACTTCATCATATAAAAGAACATCTTCCCAGGATTCCATCTCAAGTAGATGGTTGCATTCTTGTATATTCCTACTGAAAACTGTCTTCTTGTAATTTTTTTCCATCTTGTTTTAGGCTTAGTTACCTTTATATGTAATATCTGTGCAAAATGATCTGAATACCCCAAATCTAACACTTCCGTTAAGTTTTTACAGTATAGCTTATCAGTTATCATAACATCTATTAATGATACTGAGTTTTTGTGACTCTTGTTGAAGATGTAACTATTTATCAAGTTATAAGTTTCTAATAATGCACTAAGCTGCGCACTATCTTGCAGAAAATTTATTGTTATCAGAGAGGAGTGTAGTATTCAGGCGTCAAGCAATTTAACACTCAGCCATCAAATATCTCAGCTTTAAAAACGATAAAAATCAATGTAGGTTTGTTTTACAAAATTATTTGCAAAGCAGCTGATTTTATTCTGTTGAATTTATCGAGCATGCAAGGGGCTCAAATGTTAAAAGTGTTAATAAATGGTCTGTGTGCTTGTATTATACGTTGTTGAGACTTGCTTGCTGTAAGTCTGGCAGTATGTATGATGTCCATGTTTGTAATGAATTTTAATATGTTACAGTGAAATTATTTTGATGATATGACTGGTCAATGTACTTATACGTGGAATGGCGAGGTGTGCAATTGCGCAGCATAGAGTTGTCATGGTTGGAAATATGAGGGATTTTGAAGAGAGCAGTCACCTGGGATGTGGTGCTATGTAGATATTGTGTTAACCGACGTTTCAGAGGAACGTATCGCCTCCATCATAATTATTAGTCTATTTGCACCTGCTCAGACTGGTTCTTCGCTTGTGTATTTTCTTCTGCCCTGAAGATGGAGGCGATACGTTCCTCCAAAACGTAGGTTAACACAATATGTACACAGAGCCACATCCCAGAAGACTGGTCTCTTCATAGTCACTGCTGTAAAAACCTCAGATCTTACATGAGGGATTTTGTTTAGGGTCGAATGTGACAGTGGTTTTTCCATGGCCCATGTGTTGTCTTCACAACTTGCGCTGTATGCGTGAGACCTGATTATATACTTTATTGGACCAAGGACGTATGATGTGTGACATATTTTATATCCAGCCCTATGGGGAGGTGATTGGATCCATTCATTCATTCATTCATCTGTAATCTGTCAAGACGACAGGTCCACAGTCTCTTCCAAAACAGTTCCTCCACCTGATGCGATCTAGAGCTTTCTCCTTCAAATGAAAATATCCTCTTATGTCCCCAAGGTCATCCAGCATCTTCTTATGTCTTCTTCCTCATCTTCTGGTCACTTCTATTGGCCCCTCTATCTTTCCTCAATAAATTCTCTTAAAAGGCAGTTACCGCGTAAGATATGACCAATCCAATTAGCCTTCCATTTTCTTATTTCGTGTAGGATATTCCTGTGCTCACTGACTCTAAATAACACTTCTTCATTTCTCACATAATTGGTCCAACTGATCTTCTCCATCACCACATTTCAAAGCTTTCCAGGTGTTTCTGATCTACTGCCCTAAGTGTCCAAGTTTCCGCCCCATACTAGGCAGTGCTCCAAATATAGCATTTCACTAGTTTCTCAAATTTAAGTCCAATTTGCTGGTGAAAAGATTCTTCTTCTTGGATCCATGAAGTGAAAATAAATGTAAATGCCACAGTGTTCTTTAAAACTGCTGTTTTGTTCGTCCGGCAATGGTATTTCCCAGGTATAGTGCTTGTTTCAGCAGGTCAGTAATCTTTTTAAATGATGAAAATCTCAGGGCTGCTTTCATCAGCCCATACATTTTCTCACCAATAGTCGACCTATTATTACTGGAAATAACTGCTGCCTATTACAAGATCAAAATCTCTCACACCCCTTCTCACTTCTGCACATGAACAGAGGTAGAAATTATGGTGCCTGCGCGCAGTGCGCAATGCACAATGTCACTGTCGCCAACCCAATGAGAGCCATCAATAGACATGCAAAAAGTCTTTCAAAACTCGACTGGGATCACGGGTTTGAATGTATCAGGGTTTACCTATAAGTGATTTTTTTATTTTCAGATTTCCATCTGTGTCGTGAGATCTTGCATTTGACAAAGTCGATGTTGATTCGCATGTCCAGTACCTCTTGAACAATGTGGATGCATTCCAGCTGGCAGATTGTATTCAGTACATCTTTGCACGTGTGGGGCAACTCACAGGAATGTATCGCTACAAGTACAAAGTGATGAGGCAGATATGGATGTGCAAAGATCTTAAGCACCTAATCTGCTATTGCTTCAATACTGTGAGTCACTAGTTAATACTCTTGTCCAGTCTGAACATGAATCTGTTCATTGGGTAGATGCTTTGACGAGGTGAGGTGAAGTCCCACCCCATTGTTTGCAGCTATTGTCTTCCACAGTTCTGTTTAGTGTGGTGAAAGTCAGCTGAATTTGAAGGAACATGTTACCCCCACCTTAGGGTTGAAGAGTAAGCAAAGCAAAATACCCTGGGCAGGCAGCAAGCAGAGCTCTGATTGCTCACTTAGAATTACAGCTGAAAACTTTAGCTGCTGACTGTGGTGTTTGTAGTTCTTCTGTGTCCCACTGTGTGTGTACAGGGGATACCCCACAGCACTTCCATTTAATCATTCACACAATCATACCATGATAACTGAATCAGTACAAAATAACCTTGACAGTTGTAGCAGTGTTGTACAGTAGTGAACTCACATATAGTATCTCATAATGGTATGTGAACTGTGTAGCTGTATAAGAAGGCTGTGTCATAGATCAGGTGGTTAGTTGTTAGCTTCTCACTATTCATTCATCAGTAATCTGTCAGACGACAGGTCCAGTCTCTTCCAAAACAGTTCCTCCACTTAATGCGATATAGAGCTTTCTCCTTCAAATAAAAATATCCTCTTCTGTCCCCAAGGTCATCCAACATCTTCTTACGTCTTCTTCCTCGTCTTCTGGATCTTGCATACATGGTATCTCTGTTTTTGGAAAGAGACTATCCAGGAAAAGTGATAATGTGGTAGTTTTTCCATTTGCTTTCCACATTGCAGTACAACAGCCTGCTCACGCCTGTTGCTATATGAACTTGAACCATCTCGAGCATCATTTGCTCTGTGCTTCAAGTCGCTGCTGATGACTCTGCTTCCTGCATCAGTTTTTGGTGTCTCTTTTCATCTGATGCCTACCCTTTGACCTGTCCAGCAAGGGAGGCCATTAGCTACGCTACCACTGGTATAGCTCACAGGGTCCTTGGCATACTCAAACCCCCTCACCATGATAAGGTGGAGACACCACTATATGGGTCTGAATTTAGTCCTGGGGTCTGCATGGGATACGTAGTGGCCAGATGACATTGGGCCAGTTTTTCTCTAAGCACTTTGATTTTCAATTAATGTGTTGTTGGACATTATCCATCATCTTGTCTATTCTTAAAAAAAAACATCCTGTTTCTCTTAAAAACAACGTTTTGGGGACTGGATTCTGTTCCTGTCTTCAGGTAAAACCTACTCAGTTGGGTCCAATAGACAGAGCTAGCCCCTATCTCCTATCTAGGTTTTACCTGAAGATGGGGACAGAATCCAGTCCCTGAAACATTGTTTTTAAGAGAAACAGGATGTTTTTTTTTTTTTAAGAATAGACAAGATGATGGATAATGTCCAACAACATATTAATTGTAACAATTTACCATCATCACAAACTTTTAGAGCTTACTTTGATTTTCCTCTGCCAATTAATATTCCACCAGTTCCACCCATGCTCATCTGTCATCAGGGTTTGTTGGAAAATGCAGTACCGAGGCACTTGGCCCGAAATCACACACAACTGAATGGAAGAATTGTATGAAAAGTGACCTCCAATATTGATAATATTTTCTATCCAGGGTCCTGTAGGGAAACGCCCTGGATGTGGTTTCTGGGCTCCACGATGGCGAGTTTGGCTCTTTTTCATGCGAGGAATCACCCCACTGCTGGAGCAATGCCTTGGCAACGTTTTTTCTAGACACTCCAAAGGAGTTGCCAAGAGTGTCACGAAACAGAGAGTAGAAAGTCACTTTGATCTGGAACTTTGAGCGTCTGTTAGTTGCATCCTCTCAGTTTAATTTGTGATCTGTAGGTTAAATGTTGAAATCATATTTTCAGTTAAGCACAATAGATCATTGAAGGTCGCAGTGCGAGGGCCGGTTTTTATGCCTCATCCCTCATGCTCATACCCAACACTTTTAGTTAAGAAATAGATACAATACTGTAAAGTGGCTGAGTTGCATTGGAATTATATTGTTTTTAGGTGATGCGTGATATTGCAGACATGATGCCTGAAGGAATCACACAGAATGAAGCCAGAACCATTCATCAGTATATCTCAGCTGTTTCAATGAATTGTTCTTGTTTTTGTTCTTTTATTTAAAATTCAAGCAGATCCAGATACAGGTTGAGAAGTAGATTCACAAACCATTGGATATACAAGGGTAAGTCAATAAGTAAGTTACAAATGCATGTAGTAGAACTTAAACAAATAAGAGTACTGATCTGAAAAATGCTTTTATTTCTCAACATAATGTCCCTGTACATTGAGGCACTTGTCCCATCGTTTCACAATCCCCTGAAAACCAGCGGCATAAAATTCTTCGGGCTAATGTCGGAACCAGGCATGTTCACATGGCAAGGCCTACCTCATAATGCATGACAGGTTAGATTTTCACAAAGTCTGCATGATGGGTGCCGCGCATGCTGACCCCACAACACAAAATGCAAAGAATGGGTCTGGCATTACAGCATCTCAGTCGCTACCACGATAAAGGACACGATATGCTATGAAATGTCACAGGTGATGAGTCTTGGGTTCACCATTACCAGCCCAAGACAAATCGTTCGTCAGTGCAGTGGAAACATCCTGCATCGCCTGCCAAAAAAAAAGTTTTAATGCGCCACCATCCTCCAAGAAAGTGTTGCTCACAGTCTTCTGAGATCATGAAACTGATGACTGCATTCCAGCCTCGAGAACAAACCGTAAATGCTGACTCCTACTGTAATATCCTCAGGAAACTTCATAAGGCCATTCAACGGAAGCGACCAGGACTCCTCACCAAAGGCATGTTGCTCTTGCATGACAACATGTGTCCCCTTACTGCCAACAAGACAAATGAGACGCTGTGAAATTTCAAGTGGGAAGTCCTTGAGCACCCTCCATATAGCCCTGACTTTGCTCCAAGCGACTTCCATTTGTTTGACCCTCTTAAACATCATCTTTTCCTGAACATTTTCCAGACGAAGCTGTAGTAAGGGAAGTCACCGCCTAGTTTCGACAGCAGCCCAAAGAATTTTATGCTGCTGGTTTTCAGGGGCTTGTGAAACGATGGGACAAGTGTCTCAATGTACAGGGAGATTATGCTGAGAAATAAAAGCATTTTTCAGATCAGTACTCTTATTTAAGTTCTATATCCATTTGTAACTTACTTATTGACTTACCTAGATAGAATGTGTCACATATCAAAACAAATGTTCCAATTAATCAATGGAATAAGTCTAGGTAACATAAAATGAAATATACATAACACAGACATAGAGCATAATGAATGTGATTACAAAAAATTG